TTATATCCTTCTAGGTATTACATATCCATACACTTAGTTTGGTTATACCACATATCATTACTCTATTTTTGATTATGCACTTCTAGGTACCACATATCATTACTCTATTTTTGGTTATACCCCTCTAGGTACCACATATCAATACACTACTTTTGGTTATACCTTGGTGAGTGCCGTAGTGGAGGCAGCAGCAAATGAGAAGTTTATACCTTATATGCAGAAAATATTCCGTGAATTAGGTTTACATCATACTGGTCCTGATGAGTATGAGCCATTAGTGTATAACAGAGCAAGGTATATATAGTAATGTTGTAGGTGTTTATATTCTATGAGTTGAGTTTATATCAAGTAGTTTCTGATAAGTATGAGTCATTGGTGTATAACAGAGCAAGGTATATATAGTAATGTTGTAGGTGTTTATATTCTATGAGTTGAGTTTATATCAAGTAGTTTCTAATAAGTATGAGTCATTAGTGTATAACAGAGCAAGGTATATATAGTAATGTTGTAGGTGTTTATAAATTAAGAGTTGAGTTTATATCAAGTAGTTTTTGATAAGTATGAGTCATTAGTGTATAACAGAGCAAGGTATATATAGTAATGTTGTAGGTGTTTATAAATTAAGAGTTGAGTTTATATCAAGTAGTTTCTGATGAGCATGAGTCATTAGTGTATAACAGAGCAAGGTATATATAGTAATGTTGTAGGTGTTTATATTATAAGAGTTGAGTTTATATCAAGTAGTTTCTGATGAGCATGAGTCATTAGTGTATAACAGAGCAAGGTATATATAGTAATGTTGTAGGTGTTTATATTCTATGAGTTGAGTTTATATCAAGTAGTTTCTGATGAGCATGAGTCATTAGTGTATAACAGAGCAAGGTATATATAGTAATGTTGTAGGTGTTTATATTCTATGAGTTGAGTTTATATCAAGTAGTTTCTGATAAGTATGAGCCATTAGTATATAACAGAGCAAGGTATATATAATAATAATGTTGTAAGTGTTTATGTTCGAAGAGTTGATTTCATATCATGGGTACATGCCATTGGTTTATAACAGAACTAGGTATATCCTACGTACTTTCAGTTAGACATCAGGTAAAAGTGAACGTCTGTTATTTGGTCAACTAATTATCAATCATGATTATGAAGAATAATTTTTCTTAATTCATGAAATGTGAGTAAAAACTAACTTGTATCAATTGATATTGTTTGTCACTGGTTGACACTACATGGAAAGCAGTGTGGTTCAGGTTTGTATGAATTGACTTGCCTCTGTGCTCTATGACCTCATAGGTCAAGTATGTTATAAACCAATCAGAATGCTGCACACAAGAAATCCTGAATATTATTGATTGGCCAAGAATACAATTTGGAAAGACTTGTTATTGCTTAGGCAAAATCTTTTGGCTTTGAATTTGTGGAAAAATGCCATGATTTGCAATAATTGTATTGAAAGATGTGTACCACATTGTTGAATTTATAATTTACCCATTTATAATATCCACAATAAAGATTTAACTAATCACACCAATTATGTTTTTTTAGCCTGCTGTCGACTTTGTTTTTTTACTCGGTGTATACGTACCATGGGCAGACCTCTCTTAGATTTGTTCATTTCATGATGTTTCCTTTAAATCTTTAATTTGGTGAATATTTTTGTTATTTTTGGTAAAAAGTGATATTTTCGACTTTTTGTTAAAAACCTCAGGTATATCTCTCTCAGATTTGTTCATATTGTGATGATATCTTCAATTATCTAATTTTGATGAATATTTTGTCATTTTTGGTAAAAAGTGCTATTTTCAAATTCTTGTTGAAAACAGCAAGTCTGATAGTTTTGATAGTATACATATTGTTCCTTTTCTAATGATATCTTCTGTTCTTTAATTGAAATGTGCATTGCTAACAGTGGAGCTATCTCAGCCGACAAGACTGCTTGTTTGATTCTGCCAGTAAGAGATATTATCTATTGGTTTGTGTATTTAATATTATGTTGGGGTGTTTTATATTCAGTACTATAACACTGTATCATAGTAGCGTTGATGTATATGTGGGATTGGTGCTTGGTAATAATATAATTGGCTAGCATATTTGCTCTATTATTAGTATTAATATACATCTATCACCGTAACGAAACTCAATTTTTGACAACAGATTCTATGATGTCATACTTTACCCATAATCCTTTGCTTGAGAATCAAGATGGTGGACTACATAATAATGATATAAAGTTGAATATCTAGAGAATGAAAAGTGATATAAAAAAATTGTAAATTGCATTCTCCTACATTTGTGGACCTTTTTCTTCAAGGGTCATTAGGTTGCTTAGATTGATGTTTCCTTTAATTGATGTTTTTTTCATAGGTACTACAATCGTAAAAATGGCAAACTAATGAATACACCATATGTTGACTTATCCTACAAGTGGGCTGGTGGTGGATTCATATCCAATGTACATGATTTGGTGCAGTTTGGCAATGCTATGTTGTATGGTTATCAGATTGATGATCACAAACAAGGTATGTATTAAAGAGGTTCAAGCCAAATTGAATATTATATGTAATGTGTGCCATACATATTATTATGGGTTCATCAAGATGCCAAAAATGAAAGAAAATAAAAATGTTCTCCAGAAAATTATTTGAGTCTAAGTCTGAAATGTCATAGAAAATGCTCAATGAATTGAAAGATCATATTAAGTGGTTCCTGAATTATATCCTGATATACTACGTCTTTATTAGCCCCGCTGTCGACGAAGTCGAGCAGAGCTTATAGTATTACTGATTGTCCGTTGGCATCCGTCGTCGCCACTGCCGCCGCCGCCGTCGTCAACTTTACATTTTCGACTTCTTCTTAAAAACCACGACCTGTATAGCTGTGAAACTTTCTAGGAAGATACCTTGGGTGGTTCTCTCTCAGATTTGTTCATTTCGTGTGGATATCATATGTTCAATACTGCTAGTCTGATTGCTTTGATATTGTATATGTAGGTACATCAGGTGGACCTCTGTCAGATTTGTTGAATTTCTGACGACATCTTCAATTCTCTAATTTTGATGAATATTTTTGTCACTTTTGGTAAAAAATTATATTTTCAACATTTCCTTGAAAACTGCTTTTCCAATTGCTTTGATATTGTATATGTAGGTGTATCAGTGAACCTCTGTCACATTTGTTGATTTTGTGATAATATCTTCAATTCTCCAATTTTGATGAATATTTTTGTCATTTTTGGTAAAAAATTATATTTTTGACTTCTCCTCGAAAACTGCCTGTCCAATTTCTTTGATATTGTATATGTAGGTATATCAGGTGGACCTCTGTCAGATTTGTTGATTTTGTGACAATATCTTCAATTCTCTAATTTTGATGAGTATTTTTGTAATTGTTGGTCAAAAACGTTTTTTCAACTTCTTCTTGAAAACCTCTAAACTGATTGCTTTGTAAATTTATTTATAGGTACCTTGGGTGGATCTCTGTCAGATTTGTTCACTTCCTGTCAACATCTTCAATTCTCCATTTTTAGCAAATATTTTTGTCATTTTTCATCAAAAAACATTTTTGACTTGTCCGAATTCTTTGATACTTGTACACATGCAGCTTGGGTAGACCTCTATTAGATTTGTCCATTTTGTAAAGATATCTTCAATTCTCTACTTTTATTGAAATATTCTCTGCAACAAAATCAAGAAAGTTGGTGTCTTGCGATATTAAAGCAGCTAGCATGAAGTTTAAATTGCCTCTTAGTCATTGCTTTCAGAGCATGCATCAAAAACAACAGCTATATCAGCCGACAGGCTGCTAGTTAATTATTATGTAAATTAGATAATTGACCGGTATATACATGGTATTGACCAAAAACCAGTCAAAACACTGGTCATTCCAATGCACCTATGTACCAAATTGTATTGAAAAATATTAGGTGTTTCTTGAAATATTTTTTGAAATATATCTTCCAATCTTATTCTGCCCCATCCAATGATATCCCCACTGTATACCATGATATTCTCTTCCTTACATATACAGGGCAACCAATGTGTAGTTTAATTGTGTTTATTTTTCGACAACACTTTATTATTCATATTAATTATTCGTTATTGATTCGTTTTATTTTTGCTTTGAGTCACAGTATTGTTGTATTCTTTTAAAATTACATGTATCCCTATGGCAAACTAACACAACCTTGACTGTTTCACGCCATTTAACTATTCAAGGTTATTGGTACTAACGTAAGAGTGAACACACTTCGAAAGTAAATACAGCCGGAGTTTATTTACATGATGTGAATTCTTGGCTATCTATATAAACTGTGATTGTAGAATACTGTCTTGTTGTCACTCTGTCTCGCAACTGCGTAGTATATATATACTACCAGACTCGTTATAATAGAAATCCTGTCTTCTATTGTGATACCCAACCACATTTATTGAAGATGCGCTTTTATATAGTAAATATGATAATCTATATTGTACTTCATGCCTTCAATACCCTCAACACACAATAGGTTTTTTTTTTCTAAGTTTTTTTTTATTATAATTGTTTTTCAGGTGATGGGGATCTAAAATTGTTGCCAGGTTATCTGAAATCCGAAACATTGAAAGAAATGTGGTCAATTGTCAAGTCTGCAAAATACTCTAAAATAAACAATGAATATTATGGATTAGGATGGGTGGTAGGTCCTGAAACAGCCTGTCATGGATTCTGTCGACATCAACATCATTGTATCCACCATACTGGTGGTGCTGTTGGAGCTAGTAGCGTGCTGTTGATCTATCCATCTGCACTCTGTCTCGAAGATGAATGTTCTGCTATAAAAACACAGAAGTGTACACCTCCCAAGGGGATTGTAGTGGCTATCCTTGTCAACTTGCAGGGAGTTGGATTGAAAGCAACAGCATATGAAGTTGCAAAGTTGTTTGATGAGGCAAACCGATGAAACCTATATTGGTCAGAGTAGGTCACTAAATCTACCATCTTGTTCATCGCAGTTTGCAATGTGTTATAAGCTCTAAGATAGTCATCTACAGTAAAATACTTTATTTTTGCTGGAATTAATTTTCGCTAATAAGAACTTTTAGGATGTTTTGTATGGAATTTAATTTTTTGACAAGTTGAATGTAAAATACAGGATTTTATTCTCACTGAATCATTTATCGAGCGAAAATTAATTCCAAATGAAAATAAAGTATTTAACAGTATCTATTTATCCTATCACAACTTGGCAGATTAATGTTCAATTTGTAATTGTTCTAATTGTTTGATACATCATGGGTTATGTAAGAGCCAGTGACTGTTTGCTTTTATCTGAAGCGACTTCAGACAAGCGTATGAATTGCTGGCATAATATCTTGCCAACCAGAAAATGGCATCATATGTATTGTGTACTTGCAAATGTTATATATGATTTAAACATAAACATAATGCGCATATTTGGTAATCCTCCTTTGGTAAACTCTCCCAGCTTAGCGTCAGATTAGGTTATGGTAAGTTGATCCATGAGTTTACCCATGTTTTTTTCCTTATAACTCAAGGGTGCTAAAGCAAAGTGGGAAATACATTGCCATGATTATTTACATAAGGATGGTGCAACTATGTTAACATTGTGATGCAAAATATGTTCAATTAGGAGAAAATGAACATAATCTGTAGTAACACTGAATAATTAACACTTTCACTAAAGGTAAAACTCAGCTATCCTTCCATAGACCTAGCTGTCCTGAACCCATAGCTTCAATGTTATCCATGCATTGTTATCGCCTCTAAATTATCAATGGTAATATTTGTTTGTTGATTAGAGACTTATTATTGTTAGATATTAGTGAACCATGGCATAATCATATATTATACTGTGACAACGTAACAAATTATCATTATTTATTATCATCATCATTTCCTTAATAAAGGTGAATTGAGATAAAAGAATAGATATTGTTTATATATCATAAATACTTTTAAATCAAATTTCGAACAGTAGACTTTATATAACTATGTGCATGAGAACCAGGAATTGATTGTAGCTACACATTTTCAGAACCAGATGTAATATTTGTAGTCCCTGTTTGAACTTAGTCTGCAAACAGAACTATTAATTTCACCTCCTTTCAGCTGTTCACACCTGTATATAAATATCCCTGGGCTGATTTCATTCAAACTTCACACATCATATCGTAAAGATGTACATGCATTTGCTTTATGATCTAAACATAATGGGTTCTTGATGCTTTGACCAAAAGTACATCATTTGTTTCATGATACAATTCAAGATGGTTGAATGGCGGCCATTTTGTGCTGCCAATTCATCAAAATCAAGCATTTCTGCCGTTCTGAAATTTCGAATTTTAGTCGTACTTGGACATATTTCATGGTATGTTCATTAAACATAATGAGTCCTTGAAGCTTCATCATGGTCCCTTGCCAACATAAAGTGTAGTTTACATGCACAAATCAGCAATACCCTAACTTGGTACTGATTACCAAATTAGTTTTATTGAGAATTTTTACATATCGAAGGTTCTGG